CCATGTGGAAAAGGTGGGCGCTGAGTAAGGAATTATGTCAGTCAGAAGGAAGCACAAGACTTGTGTTTGTGTGAGGGGACCTGCTGTTGCAAATGAATTGTCACTGAGCTGGGGGTGGGATGGGGTGGGAGGATGGACCAGACATGGTTATGTTTAAAACATGTGCCTGTTTTGTGTTTTTGAGTGTGCTAGCTTTTGCAACTGCTATTAATGTGTCAGATCTCCAAGTCTTTTGGTGAAAAAACAAACAAAAATAAAGATATTATGCAAGCAAATGCAATGATAAGCTCAGCTGGACTTGCATGCAAAATGAAAAAGTTGTGGGGAGAAGGGGAAGGGAAGATTTGCTGAGTGGAGGATTGCACGTTTCTAAGCAGTTGGAGTCCTAAGTTCCATTATCTATAAAAGTGACTATATTTGGCCTGAGATTATGCGTTGCTTATCCTGCATTGGTCCCCTTTTAAGCTTTTCTGAATAATTTAAAGGATCCGTTCAATGCATTTTTATTTTGATTCTGAAATGTCAAGAGAGCTTTTCCTGAGCTATTTCGGCTCTCCACATCCCCATTTGGCTGAGCTCTATCTCCGCTGGTCTGGTCTCTGTAATTCTTGTTTGTAACATAGAGCAATTTTTAAAAAGTTCAGACAAAGCAACAGTGGATATAACTACCCACTGCTTCCATTGATAGACATCCTACTGGGTTATATGTTAAGGTGCCACACTGGTGTGGCTGGTACTTTCTGTTTTATCCCTTTCTTAGAAATGCAAGGGGTCTGTTCTACTTGATCATTTTCACCCTCCCCAAGACCTTAGAGGACTGGGTATGCACATTTTTCAAAACTGGAAGCAAAAGGCACTTAAAAAAATGACAGTTCCAAAATAACCTTTTGTGTCTCCTGGATCTTTGGAAATACGATCATCTATTTTTATGCTGAAATACATTTTTTTTTAATGAGGGGGTGTTGGGGCATGCATACTGAACGGATTTTTTTTATTGCATGAGAATGTGATATTGTTTAAGCAGGATAAGATGAATTGATGTGTCTTGTGAATGAACAGAACAGAAGGATGTGTGAGAAGAACAGTGTCTTCCATGTTCACAAAATTGCCATATTTATCTGAAACTTGGGTTAACAGTATTCCTTTTTATACACAGGGTATGGGTGGGGGAGGTTTAGGGTTCAGAAGAATCATTGTTCCTTCTGCTAAATGCTGTGTTCATAAAAGCAGAATCAAGGACTGAGCCATTGTTGGTTTGAATGAAGACCATTTTTTTCTTTTCTTTTTTTTAAAGTTGTTAATAACTAGCATTCCATGCCGGTTGCCATGGCTTTGTTGAAATAGCAGCTGCTAATGCTAGCAGCAGAAAGAAATGCCAGTTACTGACATAAGCTGTTAGGCTACTTTGACTGACTGTGGATATGGAAAGCAGGAATAAATGATTCAAAGAGAGAGGGAGCGTGTACACAATGCAAAAGCTTTTTTCAAAATTGGCATTCAGTTCTAGGAAAAATGGATGCGTAGGTAGAAATTCAAAAAAGCTCAGTACTGAAGCACATGCTTTGCATGTGTTCAGTCCGTGGCAGCTCTAGTCAAGAGGATGTCTGGTCATTGAGGAAGGCGGTTAAAGAACTGGAGAGCCACAGCTCGTGAGCACAAATAGTGAGCTAACTGGACCACTGACCAAACTCGCTATGGCTGCGCTCTTCAATTGAGTCACTGGTTCCGAATGTACATTTGACATATGAAAAAGTGGGCAGCCCTCATTGTATAGCCGAAAGCTAATGCTGTACACAAGAAGTCTTTGGAATGATGGTTTTTGGATGCTTACTAACAAAAATGACTACACATCTCTGTAACTTTTATTGCACCCTTTCCCTCCCTCCCCTGCACAGGTGGCATGTGCCAATGATAACATGTAATGTTGAGGAGTTGTATTTGTGATGACCATTGTTTGATTATTAATGTTGTTGAGTTTGGTTTGATCACAGGTAACTAGGTTGAAAGCCTTGACCAGGTATGAAGTTGGCTGGCAAGCCTTGAGTATGAGTCAAGGTTTTCCACTGGATGTCTTTATTGGACAGTAGGTGGAATGCTCACAGTGAACAATCAAGGACTGTGATAGGGACTGCAAGCCTGCTTTCTGCTGAAGATAGATTTCCTGTGGCAGGTTGTCTGGGCATTCCCTTAAAGATAACCGGATGCTTAACACACACTTGCATAAATGGAAGACAGTGAATGAGTCAAATGCTGAATCATATTCTTGAGATGCCCACATATATTCACAGGAACATAGGAATCTGCTCTACACTGAGTTAGACCATTGATCCATCTGGCCCAAGAATGAGCAATGTGCAGTGCCCTGCAGTCAGTTTTCTATACCACTGACAGGATACGAAAAAAAAGTAAAAAAAAAAGTCCTATACCACTAACTATGGTTGCCCTTCAATATGGACTGTGCACCTGTTTTCTCCCAGTTTTTATTCTCCTTTCTTACTTAGCTCTAGAACCAGCAAAGCCTCAAAACACCCCAACTGTTTTCTACTATGCATCAAGTCTTCTGCATAAGAGCGGTGTGCACTGACTCTTAGCAACAGCATCCTGTTGCTGATCTATATTTAGAAAGAAAGCCATTCTTTCCCTGTATCCATCCACTGGTCCTCAAACAAGTGGATTTTTAGTCTCGTTTCTACTAGCCTATTCCTTACTGGAAAGGTATTGTACTGATCTGGATCTTAATAACAGATAGATAATAATCCATTAATTTGGCAACAATGGTTTTTAGTAGCTTTTTTCTGCCTAATCTATGTCTCGTGCAGCTAGATAAGCTACAACTTGACAACAAAGAGCTGCTGCTGCTTTTAAAAAATTGTTCCAACAACCATCTCTCTGCCAGTGGGAACCGGTTGCTCTAATGGCACAAAAATGCCTTTTAGGTTATAGGAACATCCTATATCTTTGTCTAGGTTGAGCTGTGTTCCTCTGCATGAATGCTTCTGATCCAGCTGTGCTTTGCATTCTTCTCGGCCCTGCAACAGCTTTCCAGCTTGGAGGCACTTCGATATCTTTATAGTTTAACATTTCAGCCAAGCCCTGAGAAACTGTTCCCCAATCTTATGGTTCTGCCGAATTTAAAAAGTTGGCCCGGGTACCCTTTGTTGTGACATGACACAGTGATGGCAGCTGGCACACAGGTTTGCCTTGGCAAGGCTGTACACATATCCTATTACTGTATTCCATAGAAGCCTAGAGTTCCTTAGAAACCTGTTTCACAAAACAAAAACAATAAAAATGAAGTCTAGTGACATCTTTAAGACTAATGGATTTGCTTCAATGAGAGTTTGTATTAAGCACAGTCTACTTGAGTGAAAAGGCTGCAAACTCACTACTTGAGTTCACAGCCTTTACATACAAATAGACGCATTCATGGTGGGAAATAGTGATGCTAGAGGAAAACGAGTAATGTGTACATGTATTATGAAGACTTGTTGTTGTAGGAGCTCATCAAACAGTCTGAAAGCCTTGCTGATCCCTGGAAAATGACTCTCAGATTTATCAGTCAGTCCTGATCCACCTTCTGTGCACTCTTGTTCTAGGGTTCTTAGATTATGTGGGGTCAACAGTGATACCCCAAGAGTTCCAGTTGCCATTATTACTACCATGGCATAGCTGAGAGAAAAGAAAAAGGAAATCTTTGCCTTTGAGCAGCGTGTTTCTGCATTAAAAGAAGGTGTATGAGGGCATCGGTTAGTGCTCTTGGGAGTATATGTAATTTTCTCCCAAGCAAGGCATGCATTTCTTAGCACTAAGGGATCTCCTGCTTTGAGTAAGTTTAATGTTATTAAGCATTTCTGTGCAGTCGAAGGATGGAAGGTGGGTCTAATTTTTTCAGGGGGGAGCAATTGCACTTGTAATATCCCATTGCTTTGCAAGCCCTGGTAGACAAAATACCAATAAACAAAGATTTTGGAGACATATCTGTCATGTTACTTAACAATACATATTAAACACTGAATAGAATCCCAGCAGGGCAGTTTAGAAAGAACAGAGTCATGGCTCGATATCTTTGTTAGGTGCCATGTGATGGTTTTTCTCAAATACCTGTTCCTGATAGCCATTGTGGTCTAGTGAACAGAGTGTTGGACTAGGGTTGAGAAGACCTGGGTTCAGATTTCTGTTTGGCCATGGAATTCACAGGGATAGTGCTGCTGGTGGTGAGCATCTTCTTGAACATATCAGCAATACTGCAAGCAACAAGGATCTTGGAGTCATTCTAGATCACAAGCTGAATATGAGCCAACAGTGTGAAGTGGCTACAAAAAAAGACAAATGCTTTTTAGGCTGCATTAAAAGAGGTATAGTCTCCAAATCCCTTTAAGTACTAGTTCCTCTCTATTTGGCACTAGTTAGGCCTCATCTTGAGTACAGTATCCAGTTCTGGATACTGCACTTCAAGAAGGATGCCAACAAATTGGAACACGTTCAGAGGAGGGCAACAAGAATGGTCAGGGGGCTGGAAACCAAACCTTATGAGGAAGGCCTTATGAGTCCTTGTGGCTGAAATAAATGGGCATGTTTATTGCATGCCTTGAGAAAAGAAGACAGAGGAGAGGTATGATAGAACTTTTCAAATACTTCAAAGACTGTCATACAGAGGAAGGGCAGGGTCTGTTTTCAATCATCCCAGAGTGCAGGACACGCAACAATGGGCTCAAGTTATAGGAAACCAGATTTCAGTTGACTATCAGTCCTAACTGTTAAAGTAGTACGGCAGTGGAATCAATTACCTTGAGAGGTGGTGAGTGCTCTAACACTGAAGACATTCAAAGAGTTTAGACAATTACCAGGCAGATATCCTTTGATCTGTATTCCTGCACTGAGCAGGACGGTTGGACTCAATGGCCTTACATACCCAGTCCAAATTCATGACTATGATTCTATGAAATACCTGTTAATTGTACATATCTAATGTTTTTGGTTTCTTTTTCCTTCTCTCTTAGGATCCTGCAGGCATCTTTGAACTTGTTGAACTTGTTGGCAATGGTACCTACGGACAAGTCTATAAGGTAAGGAACTGGTGACATCCTGATACATGAGCTTGCCTGCCAAACATTGTTTGCTTATCTACCTTAAGTTTTTATTAGTTTTAGAATTTAAACAGCTGGCTAACTTAAGATTTCCCCTTCCTGGTAGTACTTGCTTTGAGATGTATGATAAAAAAAGAATATGTATGTCAATGTGTCCTTTTGTTACTGTTTCTCGAGAATCTTTTTTACATTAATGCACACCTTTATTACAAGATGAAATCAAATCTTCCCAGGTTAATGGAGAATGTTTTGGTCTGGTTCCTGAACTGATAATAGTTACAACAAGCTGGAGAGCACACATGTCTATAAAAGTTTTGCAGATCTCAAAGATAAATACACTGTGTTTTTCATCTGTCATTCCACCTGTTTCTGCATGTAGGGCAAAATGAGTCAGCCTTTCTCCAGGAAAATGGGTGCTGAAGGCAGACAAAGAGATCAAGATTGGGATGGAATAAAGCAACTACTTCACCTGCTCTTCTGGTGCTTTTAAGGATTCTTGCATTGTCATGTCCTAGTCTTAATAGCGAGTTGTTCAATATGTATTTATCCCAAAGGGTATAGAAGTCAAGGCATTGTTTTCTCTTACTGTGGCCATGTGTCCTACTTCATAGGCAGCGCACTAGTTGTCAAAGAAAGTCCTCTCTCTGAAGGCAGCCCCCCTATCAGGCAGCTTCCTGCCTTCCAGATGTTGTTGGACTGCGGCTCCCACCAGCCTTAGTAATTGGCTGCGGTGGCTAGGGCAGTTTGACAACATCTGGAAGACCACAGGTTACTTCTGCTTTATTTGAAGAGCAGTCTAGTCCCAGTTCAGTTTAAAGATTAAAAAAAGATAGGGCTTTGGTGTCTCTTATTAGCAAGTAGCACCTGGATAATGGACTAGATCCATTGGATTTCTGTTTAAATAACATAAATAGTTATATCTGAATTTCCATCTGTAAATAAGCTTATGGAAATCTGTGTCCATGATGTACTGCATTTCCCTTTCCTTTTTTGTCAGTTCATAGTTGGTGTCTGCCTTACCATTTGGTAGAGATCAGGTTACATGCCCCAACATGTGCAACATCCCCCCCCACACTTTTATATAGAAGAACCATGAATTGCATTGAAAACATTGACTTTTATGCAACATTGAAACCTTTGATTTTTTAAAAAACATTCTGTGTATTTTGAAAAAAAAGCGTCAATATTTTCTATCCAAAAATGCAGTATTTTTTTTAATAACAAAACCATTTCCATTATCTTTCTTTTCTCTTTTCTTGGTGGCATGTAAAGGTCAAAGGGGTGGACACGTTTTCCAAAAGTGTGGCATGATTATTTTATGATGAAACTAATTGCACAATGTTAATAACCAGTAATCCATGCAGCCTCTCTTTTACAATTCTGGGATTTCCCCCACTTTCTTAAGGAGGTGTTTGTAAAGGTGATCTTTTCCTGTATTCATCTTTTGAAGGTGAAGCAAAATTCCCCCTTCTCCACTCCCCAAAGAGAAGAGAGGAAAGTAAAAGATGATGCTGATCTGTCAGAAAATATTTATTCTGAGTTCTGGTTTCTACATTTGTCCTATTGCTGTAGGCTATGCCTTTCAATAAAGATAATAAAAGAATACAAGTGAACCACAGTTGAATTGAAACATGTGGACTTCTCCAAAAGTGTGAATTTCCAAAGTAGTATTAAATCCTTGCTAAAGTTACATATCCAAAGAAGCTCCCTCTTTTTTTTTAAAAAAAATCTTGGGACAGAATATGTTTCTACTGACTAGCTATTTCCCCCATTATATTGTTTAATTCCAAAACTGCTGTGCCCTGGTTCACTGAGGCTAAGAGCATTAGAACGATGTCTAAACAGTTCTCTCTGCTTGTAAAATAACTGCAGAGGTTGACCTAGTTCTAAACATGTGCATATTTCTAATAAGTACTGCTGGAAAATGTGACTACCGCGTCCTTTTGAAGGCTTAATGTTTCAACAGAAAAGCAGAATGGGAAGCCTTATCTCTCAAACCTTATGTTGATTTCCCCGCTTTATTGACATTTTGCTATTTACTGTCTGGTGAAATTTTGTTGGTATAGCTGCAATCAAAGTCTAAAACATAAAAAAATTAAGTGTTGCCTTGCTTGTATTGAGAGCTACACAAACACACCGTTCCTTGTTTCTGGAGGGTGTATGTGTGCATGATTGTGTGCATGCACATGCCCTTTCCATCTCTGGTTGTGACAACACAATTTTGTTCTAAATGCATCTGTTACGACGACTGTAGCATGTTGCGGTAACATTCGCCAAGGGCATTTTTGGGAATGGAAGAAGATAATAGAATAGCTACCGCAATAGAAGTAGGATGTGGGAAAGGAAGATTAGTAGTGAAATTTGCAGAAGATAGTGCCTCTTTCATTCCTCAAAATTTCTTTCTGTCCCCATTTCATTA